GCTTCGCAGCTTGTCCAGTAAGCGAAACAGCCACTTCGCCACAAATATATCTGATATTTCCTAAATTTTGCCACAAGTGCAAATCGAAGCTCAGTTTAGGTGTACGACTTTTCATACGAACAACAAATATTCTGACAAAATTTCAGCTACTTTTTTCGAGCTAGTTTTCGAATTAGCACATTGCCAACGGCGAATTTTGACGTGGTCGTACATATGCGCAATAACTGAAATTGAATCTTTGGTTCATACATACACGGAGAATATCTTTGCAAAGTTTCAGCTTTTTATTTTGCCTGGAACACGAAATCGTTTCCCACCAAAAAGATTTGAATGTCTTTCCGACGGTCCGCACGCGAGATTTATGCGTGTGTAAGCGAAGACTTTGAAACGGAAGGGTGACACATGGGATGAGAATATGCCCTCAAAATTTCAGCCTCTCAGCTTTGTTGATTAATAAGTTGAAAATGAGTGACAAAGTTAGCTCGCTTTCGAGCGCATACGGTCGACCTATCAACAATATGCATCTTTGCTCACTGTAGCAGCGCTACAGCGCTTCAGAGCAAAAACGCATAAAAACATATGCTGTTGAGAGGTTTCCCATGTGTGTGTGTCCGGAGATAAGTAAATTTTGTCATCCTCTTTCAGATCAGGAGTCAGGAAAGCTGATGGACTGAAAATACAGGATTTTTGCACGTTCCTGCACATGCAAAAAGCCTATTACTTGCAAAATGCAAAGGCGCATATTGTCGAGAGGTTGTCCCTAGCATAACGCTACCGTCCTAGTCGGTTCTTTTTTCCCCTTCGTGCAAGAAAAAGCCAAAACACAACCTGCACAGGTCTATATGCTAAGTTGTAAAGCAGCTACTCAATTTTTTAACGATTTGACTACTTCGTTTTGCAAAAAAATGCACGACCGCACAGACAAGCCTGGGTACGTCGTAACTTGGTTTCCTTTTACAAAGAATACTTTTTCGCCTACGTCCCATTTTTTTTCTTTTCTGTACTGTAGTAGTGCATTCTTAACAGTCCCTGTCATTATCCAAGTACCTTTTTTGCCGATTAATCTCTTATGGCCTTTCAAAAACCTGTATCGAGCTTGCCATCTGATCCCCTCTTATCGCATTCCGTGTGAAAGATAGGGGCACCGGATGCTTTCCTCATGATGGTGAAATGCAGCCATCGATTGGCGAGTTTGCCAAATGACCGTCTTCCGCGGGGTTCGTTTGGGAAACAAGCTTGCGGTTGTGCAATGCGCATCAACGTATCTGCATTTTCTTTAGAACGACTTTAATTTAGGAAAGAAGTAAATACAAAATTACCATTAAAACGACATGTTTCAGATAAAAAATGGGGGATTACTTGATGTGAAGGGTGCGAAGGAGACACGAAAACAACTGCGGTGAGCTCCGAGAATGTGCTAAAATGAAAGCGAATCTTGAATTTTTTTCGATTTCTTCGTTTCATTGGAGTAAGCACACCTAGGTTTCCGAAATTCCAATAAAAGCTGCTAAAATTGACGAAACTGCAGTAGAAGAGTAATCCGTAAACTTTCTGTTCACATCAAAGCAAATTTTACGAACGATGCATAAATAAAAGCAACAATCTAACTAAAAATGTTACAACTGAGACTTTTTTTTTCTTTAAAAAAACACAATCACAAAAAGAAAACGAATACAATAAGCACGAAAATGATATTAAAAAACCATGGAGAGTAATCTATAAATTCCGGGTCCAGGACTACCCGGAAACTTGAAATCCTTCAAGATTTAGGATCCCAATTCTCTCTTTTTTTACATACGTAAAAACTGAACCTAAAAAATGTTCATTAGTACGAACGAAGTTGGGCCATGTAGGAACAAATCTGGAAAGAACTATAAAAGATTGTAAAAATAGTAAGGAAAAAGTTCAGGATGAAAAATCCACAATAAAAGATCACAAAATAGTGTATGTGAAACTCCGTCTGCCGAAGAATTCATTAATAACGTCTCTGAAAAAAAAAAAGTGATATAAAACCGAACTGAATGTCAAAGCAGACTCCCAATTCCGCATGAAAAAATGCCTCGGCTAACTAGCGTCAAAATAAGAATTTTGGCTATTTTCCCACGTAAAATAACACTGAATGAAGACCCACTGAAAACAAAACAGCGGATGGTATTTTTGATTTGTTCTTTTGACATTTAAAAACGATTCTGGCCAAAAATCATGGGAAAATACACATTCGGCTTGGACTCGAAATTTTTTTCTTCAGTGCCAAGAGAATCGAAAAGGAGGTTCAAAACTCGAGGTCCCTTGCCTTCCCAATAATCTGTACTTCACTCTCTGTGACAATGATCGAACTCGACGGCCACAGTGGAAACAACAGGAAGAAACACACTCGTGGAGCAGCGCGAAAATTAATAACCTATTAAAAAAATGCAAAACTAAGATGTGAATAAAAAGTTACTTTGAAGTCCCGGAGGCAAGAC